TTTCCCCTCCCCCCTATGGCAAAATACATTAATCCAATTATTATAAATAACAAATCCATTAATCCACTAAGAGGATCTTGATTTAATTATAATTAAAAGTACCTTTCTAAAATATTTACGTGCCCGCCATACCTTCTTAACGGCGGTCAGACTATGAAACCTCGCAAGTATGAATGACAGGATAACAAGGAACATAAACAACCGCAGGGTTCTGTTTATCGGTTCCCTCTGTCTAGCCTTTCTTAATACCGCCTCAAGTTTATGCACCGTTCAATTTGTTTCCTTTTTCGTGGCTACACGTTTTGTCTCTTGAAAAAAACAGTAATCCCTCCCACATTATTAGCGATTTTCCTGTTTTTTCAGATTACCAAATGTAGAGTATTCCGTGGGCGGAAAAGCCAAGGAGAGGTTTCATTTCAGAGAGCCATTCGATAATGAAACACGGCATTTACATAATCAGGACAAGTTTGTTTTGGCTGTTTTTTATAAGGAACTTTGAAAACATTTTGGTATGTAGATTTTTTATGAAAACACGAAGCAACGATGTGTTAATTATAAACGTGTTGTAAAAGCACAGTTTCAAATAATTTTCTGGAGAGTATGATGAAACGCGTCACCCAAAGCTAAAATTCCCGCATTTTCTCTCTTTGAGCCATTACTTGGCAAAGATTTGCGAGTGCATCGTAGTTAATTTCGACTGGTAAAAGTCTCCTCGCAAAATCCATTAGTCTCTTCAAAGAGGCCAGCCCCTGAAGGACAGTTTGGTAATTCAAGGAATGCAATCCATTTTACGTATCTTTCGTTCAAGAAAACAGCTGATTGCAATTTTGGTGTTATGAATTAGCATTGAAATGTGACTATGTAAGTAGTAAGAAAGAGAGGTATACGTTCAGTCACGATACATCTTCTGCAAATCTCACAATAGCGTACCTTCGTTTCCTTCAGCTGTTACCGCGAATATTACAGCGGCTGTAAGGATAATCAAAACAGCGACATTCCTTCTCAAATACACCAATTCTATGGTCATTGCTCCAACAGTAATAGAAGGCCGGGCAACTCGTGCATCCGTCTGTGCAATGAAGCAACAACTTCCGAAAATATTTTGGCAAGTAATCGAAATTCACTCCTTGTTGTGTAAGTAAACAGCGCCTATGCGATAAAAAAACAATATAACATTCCTGGTGACTCAGTACACAAGTTACTACACTGCAGCTGTGAACAGAGGAGAAGAGATAACAACACTTGATATGACTGGGTTAATTATCATAATCAGAGAGGAGGGACAAGAATTTGTATTTTCATGCTCTGGTAAATTAGTTGTATCCATGCCTTGAGGAATACTCTCAAGTCTGGTGTTTCCTTTAATCGGATTAATTTTACCACCGCCAAGACCGCAAACAATACTTTGAACCACTTACAATAATTCATTGCAGTTTCCCGAACATCCTCACTCTACCACCCTTGCAATTCTGTCTGGCATGATATGTGACCCCAAACTTAGAGTGTCGTATGTTTTTTGGAGAAAACCCACGAAAATGATCCGAAAAATCCGGAAGCTAGGTCAACAAGTAATCTCAGATTTCTTACACAGCAAGCGTCTTTACACGTCCTTCTCAATTAAGATTTATCCCCATAGAATTACTTGGCAAGAGCTTTACAGAACGAAGCCAAAGTGCTTTAGTGATAATGCGACAACATGAGAAAAATTCCCTCTTTTTGGCACAGGTTAACAGATGGAAGAAGAAACCTTTCCAGTGTTGAATGACATGAAAGAATGACCCAATCTGACAGAGCTTATCGTTGTATAGTGACTGTGTTTTGATATCCGATCAGATAGCATCGGATTGTATCGTATCCTCGTGGAGAAACATGGGATGGCTAAGGCTTGCACGTCATCGGCTAACATTTCTCTTCAGTATTTATGCCACATCAGTATTTTTACCTATCATCTTTTAGAGATGCCTACGAGAATATTTAAAAAAAAAACGTCGTTACAGTTGACCTTAGTCGATTACAAGACCGGCGAAGATTAAATTATCGTACAAGTGTCAACCGCTTCTAAACTGCGTTTTTTTCTTCGAGGTGGGGTTAAGTAAACTCACGACACGCCTTGCATAATGCCCTTCAATAGCTGTAATGAAACCTGTTGATGAGTACATGGAAGTCATTCCCACCGTGTCAGGTGAGACATCCTTTGGTGGTCAGGCATACCCCAAAATAACCCCACTTCCGTCCATGATACTCACGAGATGATGGAAGGTGATCTCCCATCGCCCGTATTTACTTAACCCTTTACAGCCTAACATCAGTATGCATATTCTCCACACTGTTCTTTATACATTTCCTGAGGTGCTGACAGAGAAAATTTGTTTGCCAATCAAAAGGTTCCTTCCCTGGTGACCATTTTCTTTATTCTCATGACCCTATATGTACCATTTTGGATTGAGGATCTGGGTACAAAAGCAAAATCCCCACATAGAAACAAAGTTAGAAGATACCCGGACGCCACTTGGGCAACTGAGCTCAATTTCCCATCGTTTAGGGGTACAGTTTCTTCATGTTTGAGAAAATACATTCTCAGTACAGTTCGAGAAAGAGATCGCTGGCCGACTTGTTTGGACACAACTATACCGGTGATTGTCGTAACAACAAATCCTGCGATGTACCCGGAGAACAAAAACCCCTCTTTTTTCTTAGATAAGGTTGGAAAAATTCGCTCGGCGCGTACTGAATACCTCTTCAGATGTACACATACAAAAAAATTAAGCAGATGGACTTCGATTAACAAAGTCTGGACAAACTACCAGCAAATTTATGGAAACAAAGACAAACAAGCATTGAAAAGTGATGTATTCCATAACCTGCAATCACGCCTGATCGCATGTTAAAAACTTCAGAGTCAAGTTATCAAAATGAAATTCCTAGTTAAACCAATCATTTCCTAATAGCTTAGATTCAGCAGCATTTCTTGTGTATTACATTTCGTGAAAATAGAATTATCATTAAAGTAAAATAGAATTATCATAAGGTAAAATAGAATTTTCTTTAAGGTTGCATTCTCATTAAGTAGCATCAGTAACGCGGAAATTTGATTGGCTTTCTCCATATAGTTTACTCTTTCTCTCATGGAGTGACACGCTTTGGGTCACGTGGGAACATGGAACTCTTTCGGACATTATGAATATCCAGGTACAGCATGACTACTCGCTCAAGGCCTGGGAGGGGAGAGAGAGGGTAAGCGTTAGAAACGAAACACAATTTGAGGTGAACTAAAGGGCGATTTCTCGCATCTGGTCTCCTCGTGCTTGAATATCTTCAAAATTATGGCGCAGTTAAAGTCAAATGAGCCCAAAAATAACAGCTTCTGATTAAATCAAAATCACTTTGAGACTTTTCAATGAAAAAAGAGACTTGCTGAATTCAGAGTCCAAAGTCAGAACATAAGTATTATTGAAAAAGCTGGACCTAAAAAAATTTGTGTAAAATCATTAGGACAAAGAGAGACCTATCCAAGAAATTTGAGACAATATTACCACGCAGTCATTAAAGAAATGACAAAGAACGTACCATAAAGTCAATGTAGTCGGTAGAGAACTGGGGCGATCAAAGGAAACTTTAACAAGATAACTGAGAACGCATCGCTCCGAGCGAGCATAAAAGTGAAAAAAAGGCTCTTACATGAAAGAAAATGTTGGAAATCAAGTTATTAGAGAAGCTTACCTATTCCTCCACCACCGTGAGGTGGTGCACCATAACGAAATGAGTCAATGTAGGCCTTGATCTTCTCCAAATCTGAACAAGAGGAATAAAGTTAAACTTTTATATGACCATGCGCGGATGGGGCCGGGGGACTGAGTACGAGCCATTGGCTTTTGAAAACCCCTTCCACATTATAGTCTTTAGACCCCATCTTGTTAGCTTTTGGCCAACTCAAATGTAGGCTACAGCTTCGACAATATACTGATTTATAGACCAAAAAGTAGCTAACCTATTTCATGAAGCTTGGCTCTCTCTGCCAACAGGTCGGAGTCGTGTATTCGCTGTGCTCCACTAAGAACCTCCTCTCCGCGCATGAACATGTCGTATGAATTACTCCATTCCTGTTTTATATTAAAAAAAAGATGTGCTTATTTGAAAATGTTATGTTGTACTGCTGTTATGTTTTGTTTTACTGTAGTTAGCAAGCTTTTACTACGACCCAAAACAAGCCGACAAACTTGATGATCAACAACGGTTGGATTTCACAAAACCCAAATGAAAGACATTCTACTGATCAGCAATTGACGGCGCCTACAAGTTTGGCGAAGTATTTAAGTTAAACTTCACGGTCAGTGGACAGCAAAAACCTATGGAACTGCTATAAGAGAAGAACTTTTGCGAGGACAAGAAAACACAGGGTTTGGAATTCCAACAGGTTCTCATAAAGGTGGGCAAAATTTCAGCGGTACTGTCACAGAGTCGTGTTTGTTTTAAAGTAAGAGCTTTGACTACTGACTATCAATTTAAAAGGCAAACGCAAAGTAATAGAAAGGGGGAAAAACAAACAGCAAAGGAACAAAACAAAAATAAACAAAGAAAAATAAGGCAAAAAAGCCGGAAATACCAAAACAAACTTCGTCGTATATAAAAACATATACTGTTTTCTAATTGTTATTTCTTTTGTGCGTTTATGCACACTCACTCACAGGATTGTGTGGGTCTGGCATAGTGTAGAATGGACGGACACACAGTGGATACTTGTCCAAAATGAAGAAGTCTGTGTCATATTTCTGCTTGACAAGTTTTCCCAACAATTTCTCATTTGGAGTGCTATGAAAAAACAAACAAGTTCAATTATAAACAAACTGACAGACATCATTACTGACAGAAAGAAAGACAGAAGGATACTCAGACAAACATACAAATGGATAACCATACAGATAGACATACAAACAGACAGATCAATATGCAGACATACAGACAGATATACAGACAGAGACAGACAGACCAACAGACTGACAGATGAACAGACATACAGACAGATCGATATGCAGACATACAAACAGACAGACAGACAGATGATAGACCGACAGATAGACAGACATACAGACAGACAGATGGACATACAGACTGACAGAAAAATGGACAGACAAATGAACAGAGAACTAGGCATATCACACTCACAAATACAGACAAATAGTAAAACCAACTAGACCCAAACAATAAAAATCAACTCCATAAAGCTTGCTTCCCTACTTAAGAGATAGAAAAAATAGTTACCCCTTTACATACCTCAGATCTTCATCATAATTCATGTCTATTCCAGCTTCCCTCAGCATGTCAACTCCTTCACAATAGTTCAACACCAAACTGAATAAACAAAAAAAATTGTCAGCATGAAGGGTGGTGCCCTTGGGTAAATTTATGTTCACAACAATGACAAAAACATGGAGCCCAAAACTTTAACTGGTTTTTTTTCCTAAATGTACATAACTGAAAAATTAGGAGTTTCTGCATTACAAATCAGTTGTACTTTGTAGTCAATACTCAAGGAAAGTTAAAATATATTTTTCTGATAGACAACATTTTTTTGCTTCTTCCCTCTCCATTCAAAATATTGGCATGCACTGTACTTCAACAAGTATGGCCATCTTTCCTTATTTTCAGCAAAAGGAGTTGTAAGAAAGGCCAAAACAAACCTTGGTTCCAGAAATTTAAAAGGTTCACTTGGGTATTGTTTCTGTACTTTTGCAATATCTTCAGCATATCTGAAGGGAAAAAGCAATATAAAGCATAGTATCAGAACAATCAAACTGCCGATTAAGTAAGAAAAATAAACAGCACAAATAGTTGTGGTTTTCTTCACAATATTAAGTAAAAAACAAGGTTCTTGTAGGCAGGACCTGCAGGGGGAGGGGGGATGGTTTCCTGATCTTATGAAAACTTTCCCAGCAAACTTGTATTTTTAAGGATAACCACATGTGTTTAGTCAACACAACAACAACAACAAAAACAATGACAACAAAGTGGATTACAGAACTGTTATCGATTCACTGCAGCAGACAGGGAAGTGAAGTTGATGGATTTGAGCCATAGTCAGAAGGTAGAGGGATTTTATTTAGGATATTCACTTACTGGAGCTATAACCTCAAAAAATGGTGTAACTGTATTCCTGGAAAGTATTCCTCACCATGTAAGAGAAAATCTACTTCCAGGAAAGTGGAAATGCAGTGTTGGTATGGGTTTTTAAAAAGGGTTTTAACAACCATCTATATTGAGATGAACTTTTATACAAATATGGTTTTCATTAAAAAAAAAAAAGGATCTCATAATCCTTTTCCAAAGGAAATTTAAGTTGTAAGGAGAGCTGTCTGCTTAGAGGAGTATCAGTTGAGACAATTTGTCTTTTTTTAAGCAGTAACCAACTGGTAATAGCCTAACTCTCAGACCATCTCTCACACTTTATGGGTACAGCACATAAATTGTCACCTGTCACGCAATCCTTTGAAGATATGGACAAAGGTGCGACCAATCATGTCAATCACCTGAAGTAAAGGAAATGCAGATCAGAAGATTATTTCTGCTTACTGTCAGACTGGGATGTTATTTGCAGAGAAACGATTGAGGGAATTCACTGAAGAACATTCAGTGAAGCACACCTTACATATTATCATAATTAGCAAATTTTTAGGCTGAGTTACCTCATGATAATGCTCCATAAAAGTCATCTCAATATCAAGACCAATAAATTCTGTCAGGTGCCTGTGTGTATTGCTGTCCTCAGCACGGAAAACTTCAAATTTAAAGTAAAAGAATTGATTTCATATGGATTTAATTAAGTCTTGAAGTATGGAAGACTGGGAAACTACAAGAGAAGCCTCCAATTAATGTATCAATGTCCTAATTGATTATGTTCTTTGACAAGACACTTTTAATTAGTTTCACAATGCCTCTCTCCACCCAGGAGTATAAATGTGTACCTGCAAATAGTCAGGGAAGCCTGGTCAAATGCTGGGGGTATATTGTAGCCTTGCAATGAACTGTTATTCTATCAAGGGCGGAGAAGTAATACTCCTAATCACTTTAAGATCTGGCTAGATGATCCTCTCAGTTTAAGTACAGACTTTACTGTGTCCAAATTTGAACATTTTCAGCGGTTACTGTCAATTCATCACTCACGATACTTGTTATACATTAAAATAACAATTTTCAAGTTTTAGTCTCTGCACCTGATCCAATGGTGAATACTCTATCGAAGTCAGCACAAAGTACCATCTGCTTGTAAAGCTGAGGGGACTGGGCCAGATATGCCTTTCCTATTTTCAATAAAAACAATAAATTTTACTCCAAATACAAACAAAATGGATACATTCTAGGGAATGGTGGACCAATCAAATAAGGATGCATTTTGCAAAATAATTTTGCAACCACCACATAGAATTGGATTTTGAAAAACAGGTTGGCAACCAGCACAGACAAGTAAAACCTCTGCTCTTAAACAGTCTTGTTTTTTTGCAAACTACTTTCAAAATTCTAGACTGTGATTACTGTAAATTCTGACTGTCCTTTTTTTAAGACAAACCTCTCTCATTTCCTGCTAAACAACCAAATATAAAGTATGTGAGGTTGAAAACTTACCTTTGAAATAAGTAACTTCAAACACATTTGCACCTCCCTCGCTTGCAGCTATAAAGGATAAGAAAATCGACATTAAAAATGATCACATGCAAATATTATCAACAACAACAGCAGAGCCAATTATTGCAGTCCAGTATTACTGTGTGCAAAGTTGCACAGCTATTAATCCCTCTGAACAAATTGTAAAAGATTAAGGGAAAAGTAAACATCCATCTGTCTACTTTCAATAGGACATCACTTACAGTACAGAAATCATAATCTATTGCAAATGACCAACAATATGTCTAATCCAATCCAACCTGAAATTATCTTAGGAGTATGAATTTCATGAAATCCTTGAGACACGAGGAACTCTCTAAATAAATGGCACACACCAGCTTGAATACTGAAAATGGCTTGGTTAGGAACAGTCTGTAAACAAATCACACGTCAGACAAGGAAGAAATTGTAATGACACCCTTAAAACAGGGATAGGTTGGAACAGGGAGTAACACTGACAGCATATTAGCTTTAGCACAGATATAAAAGCCCAAAGTACAAACTTGAAAAAAAAAGAAAAAAATACCGAAAAGCATTGTGATTCCAATAGTCTCTGGTCAAATTTGAATTTGGAGTTTTAGTTTCAGTGGAAAGAAAGAAAACAATAGAATGAGCAGGCCACAATGGTAAGAGGCAGGTCTTCAAACCTTGCCCCATCTCTACTCTTCTTAACCTTTACATCCCAACATCAGTATGCATATTCTCCATACTGTTCTCTTTACAATTCCTAAGGTGCTGACAAGGGGAATTTGTTAAGCAAACCAAACCTCTTTTGATTGGTGATTATTTCTGCTATTCTTGTGAACTTCATGTTTGATTGAGGGGTGATATTGCAAGGAAAAGGATTCAAGAGGTTAATACATCATGACAAAATTATGCACATCTAAGTGGCTGAAAATGAGTGCTTTTCATGTAACACATGTGCAAATTACAAAAGGGCCTGCATGCACAGTCAAAATTGTGTCTGTCTTTACCTACTGTGATGCTTTTTAATGTAAATTATTAACAAGTAACAACATGATTTATCATGAAATTTGGTGTAAATAAGCACTTGTAAATTTTCCAAAGACTACAAATTGCACTTGCCCTACCTGCTTGTGCAATTTTGTTGTCTTCGAAAAATTTACCAAATAAATGCTCATTTACACCAAATAGCACTCAAAATCATGTTATTACCTATACTAATAGCACGGCAAAGTGTACCCTGAGGTCAATAATTCTGTTATCCAGCTTGGTGTCTTGATTCACATGAGCTTGTTCCTGAATTAAAATTAAAGAAAAAAAATGCTTAATCCAGTGGACTACTTTTAATTCTAGCAACTTATAAAATAGACTTTGAGTTTTTGCTGATATAAGTTATCAGTTCTGTCATGATTTTGTTATCATCCAACATATACATTTTATACTATATTAAATAATGTCCTACCTCATCAGTTTCAGGGCGTGAGGCATCGTCAATCTGCAGGGGTAGTCTTGGCTCAGCCAAACTTACAACAAAAATCTGCAGACACAAAACAAGTAAAAATACTCCACAAATACTAAGAGAAATAAATTTTAACTGATGTCTCTGTCTCAGTTCAACATAGATCTCTGTATTCAACAGTGTGGAGAAAAAATTCAATGTTGTTTGAGTGAGCAGTTTCCATATATTTCAACTAAGTTGAAAATTAACCTTATCAACAAAGATCTCCACATCTTCTTGAGAGCAGCTCTGAACTTTCTGAGCAGCAGATTTCACTTCTCCTTCAACATCAACAATAGACTCTTTGTTTATCCTATAATAAAATATAATCGAAATAAGACAGAAATTAAATCTGCTCATAACAGATTCCAGCAACAGGTTTCCATCAGCTGTTGTTACAGTGCCCATCTTTTGGGACACAGTTAAGTATGGGTAATGGTAAGAATCTTCACTGGCAATAGGCTGGTTGTCTGAAAGAACACTGTGTCCCCAAGATTAGAGTTGACTTCAATTTTAAGTTAATCCTTTAAACAATATGAGTGACTAGCATCTAATTTCTCCTTTCAATATCACCCCTGAATCACACATAAAGGTCATCAGAATAAAGGAAACAATCACTGACTAAAAAAGCTCTGGATTAAAAATTCTCCTCATCGATACCATTGGAATTGTGAAGAGAACAGTAATGAGAATATTCATACTGATGTTAGGGTGTAGAGGTTATTAATACAGCTTTAACTTAACTGACTTTATTTAACCTACCCTGTCGCAAACTTAACCATTCCTTTACTGATGACATCATTCACAGCACAGATTCCTTGCACAGTGTACTGGCGGTCACGTAAAATCATGAAGCACTGCTTACCTTTGGGGACACAAAATGTTGAAATATTGATGACAAAAATATCTAATTGCAAATTTTTAATTTGACTTCAAAACATTCAGCAAGAGCCACTTCAAAATAGCACTATTCAAAATTACTCTAGACACCAATAAACCACAATCATATATCAATATTTAACATTTCAAACAAAAAAACAAACAAGAAAGTGTACTACCTGTTCCTCTTGTGGTGTGAAGACGTGCCCTCACTAAAACTCTTTTACCAACAGCCTCAGAGGTCAGATCTTTCACTTTAGTCCAGACTTTGGCTACATAAGACAACAAAACATAACATATTAAACATTATGATGAAGAAGCATTCAAATTATATAGTCCAAGTTTCTAAAAAATCCTGAAAAAATAAACTTTGTAAACACCCAAAGAATACAAAAGAAATAGTTAAACCCTGGGAACTCTAAGGGCCCTATGGCTGTGAGTCTGTTTTCCTAGGGAAGACACTTTAAACTCACTAGGCTTCTCTCCACCCAGGGGTATGGAATGTACCAGCAAACTTTCAGGGATACTTGAGGAAAATTCTCAGTACCAAACAGGGGGAGGGGAGGGGAGTTTCTGTGATGGACTGGTAGAGCCACATAACTTGAATCTTGAATACAGACTTAACCTCTTGTTATTAGCCTCTTAACCTCCTTACTTTCAGTACTGCTTAAGTAGTGTTCATTACTGCGTATATGGCTTTCATATTCATTTCTTAAAAACCACAGTTCACATATAAGATTTCCATATATTCACAGTCATTGATTTATCAATTCACCAGCTTATTATGAACCAACATAATGACCAGCTCCCAGTTGGCTCGTTAGCTCAGTTGGTAGAGTGCTGCACTGGTATCACAAAGATCATGGGTTCAAATCCTGTACAGGCCTGAATTTTTTTAAGGCCTTATTTTCAATACTGGTTGAGTAGTATTCATTACTGTGAAGATTGCTTTCATATTCACAGACTTAACCTCTTTTGCCTCATTTGAGTGAGGTGGTATTAGAAATACTCCCTAATAGATAAATTTCATCAAGCTACTGCAGGTGCAAAAAGTATTATCTCAAGCTCTTTGAGAAATGCTTACATGTTTTCTCTCGAGATTGGGCCATTGGAAGGACAGCATAGCGATCCTTTGCATAGTCCTACATGAGAAAATGAAAAAAATGTATTTAGCAATGAAACATCTGTAATTTTTTTTTGTCACTGAAACAGAGACTAGGGATTAACTTCTAACTCAAAATGATTTACACAATCATTTCAGTCAAGCTACAAAGAGTATTTTTAGTGCATGGATTAAAACATCCTCAACATGTACTGAAGGCAGTCTCTTACAACTTATGCATTGATGCTACACACTCACAACAAATCCTACCTCAGCATCTTTAGCCTCTGCCTCAGCAGCCTGTGAAGGGAAAAAAAAGATAGAAGTTAAGAATTACATTCCAGTACTGGTGATAAGGAAACAGTGATTCTCTAATGCCACATAAAAATAGACAATTCATCAGGGTTGAAAGAGCTATCAGGTTAAGAAATCTTCCAAAATAAGAGAGCTTTCCCTTTCCAGTCTTTAATTGACTAAAATTCTATCAAGATATGTAACAAGTTGATGAAAGACACTTATGAATGAATCTCATCTAAAATGCAGATTAAGTACTTTTCTACTGGTACAGCTGTTTACTGACCTGATTATATAAAATGAGAGTACATGTAAATGAGCAATGGATACAAATAAAAAAAATTGTAGTTTAGATAAAACGAGCTTCACAAAAAAAAATTTAATTCCGGTTTAAATCAAAGCCTTAGGTCTCGTACAGTATTTTTATATAAAAAATTTCCATTGATAGACCTAGAGGCTGGCTGCGTCGTCTTAAATTGAGTTTAATTTTATTCTTAGAAGCTTTTTCCGACCTGTTTGGCTTCTCTTTCCGCCTTCTTCTTCTCTTTTTCTTTCTCCTTCTCCATCTTTTTCAAGGCTTTCTTCGACAAAGGCTGGCCATCGGGTCTGTAGACCAATATAATGTTTAAAAAATGAGGGTTGTCCATTAAGCGAAATTTAAAATATCTGATGCAATATAATTTCCTTATACCCCAATGTGACCTTCTCTTCGGCAGGCGAACCCCCGATTCCATTTTCTGACGACATAATGAACGGTGTCGTGGTGAGAAAACGCTTCAAAACGAAATGATGTTTGTTCCCTCTCAAGAAGACTATACGTGACGATCTTGAGACAATTTGGGTCACCCGCCACGCTAACATGCAAAAGAACCTTCCTTTACCTCAAGGGGAATTTTCAGTCAGGCGTCACTGACCGGGGTTTGGCTCCAGGACTCCACTGATACCCCCGTCATTTAGGAGGGAATAAAGCGTGCCCATGTCTAAAACGAGGATGTCAAATTAAGCCCTGGTTTAATAGGAAGAGGAAAGAAAGCGTGGAAATAAATAAACAAAAAA